CAAAAATGACATCAGGCTGCGTTTATTCAAATTTATTATTTATGTTTATGATATTTTGTATATAATTTTATATATTGTATAATTCAAAACTATCTACTTTTCCAGAAATTCGCTCCTTATTTTTAAGATGTATTCCGAAAAAGACAAAAATTTTTTCGCATTTTTCTATAATACAATATTTATTATTAAAATACATATGAAATTAGTAAAATCCTAGACGACACAAATTGATTTACAATCAGAACATAAGATAGGTTTTTATACGGTTCTCATAAAAATGTTTTAAAAATATTTTTTTAGACGTCTTTGAATCGTCTTATATCCCGATTTTGGACTTTGTATTTATTAAGTGATAAAAAATAATATAATTAAAAAGCGACGAAAACATAAAGTATTATATATATGTTCTAGATCTTCTGTGTTTATTATTAAAATAACAAATTATGGTTTTTATTTTTTCTGATGTTATTCGTTGGAAATATAATAACATAATTAACATTTAGCATAAATAGTATTTGACGGTATATTATGTTAAAAAAAACTAATATAGAAGATAACTGTATCTGATATGGCTTAACATTCAATGTGACCTATTTGCTATGTCTACATAGATATACAAATAGTTGAATTTTTACTGCATCAACGTAAAAATTGAAAATGTCTTTATATTCTTAATTAATATTTAGAAATGTTATCTATTTTGAATCTGATCACTGCAGTTTTCAAACTCAGCAAAAATTACAAAATAGCTTTGATAGACTATTGAATCATACTTTTATTTACTTCATCAAATTAAATATATATTTAATCCTTTTGTTCCGGCATAAATGTGTGCAATTGTACTTCCTTTGTGCGAGGAAGTCTGCAGCAAGTGTCTATTTTTTAGATAATTGGATACATATGCAGTTTTACAATATAAATTTTTCATTAATAAAATTTAGATTTTATTATCATTTTCACACTTATTATGTTCACATTAATGATAAAAATGTAATACGACACGTGGCAATAGTCGATGCCAGGATCAAAAGGGTTAAAAAAATATACCTCCATACATGTACGAAGGTCGTTTAAAAAGTTTTGAGCATTAACATGAAGATGGCATTACTCATCAAAACCATTCTGGTACTACAATCGTACATGCTTTAAAAAATATCTGTGAAAATTGTAATCATTTTGGACTCAGTTGTTGTTTGACAATCATTTGTGTCGATGTCAGTTTTTGTAAAAATGAAAAAAATCAAATATCGTGTAAAAATTCAGAAATCGCGGATTGAATTGATCATCCACTGTATTCAACAGATCTGATCCCAGAGACTTTTTTCTGTTTTCTAGGCTCAAAATTTGGCTCGAAAGACAGAGATTTTCGAACGAGATCCGTTCGTCGCATCCGAAAGTCTATTTTGCAGAGCAAGACGCGAATTATTATTTGAATGGATTATAGAAATGGGAGCGCACACATAGCTGAGAAAAGTGTGTCGACTTAAAAGGAGATTATGTTGAAAAATAAAACTGAATTTGATCGAAAAAGTATTTGTTTCTATGTTAAGCTCAAACTTTTCAAAACGACCCTCGTCTATATGTATAAATTACCTTCAATTATAAGAATATCCGTAGCTACTTTCTTGGATATTCTTTTTTTTAGCAAATTTATAGCGTATTCGACCCGAGCGGATTTGCACCAAGCTAGGTTGGATTAATAATGTTGTATCCTCTCCTATTGGTGGAATATAACGTCAACCCATATAGAACATTATTCAACCCAAACGGGAGCAAATCCGCTCGAGTCGAAAACGTTATTAATATGTATAATTACAGCGCTGAATTAATTCCTTTATTTAATATTGTGAAGGAAAGAATGTAAGAAAATCTTGTTATTTGTAATTAATTAACATTAAAATTTTTAAAAAATTTTATATATTGTTTAATATATTGTTTAATATATTATTTAATTAATTCGTGTTTAAATTTTTTAGTTAAAAAATACTTACTAGATCAAAATCATAAATACATAAACATAATAGTGTCTTTATCTTTTAATAAGATCTTTTATATGTACAATTTTATTACTTCTTACTACTAATAAGAGCATTAGAGAATTTTACAGAATCAAATAACGTAAAACGTAACTTCTGTCAGTAACAAATATGTATACATAGATTAGAGTTTAGGTTAAGGATCAGATAAAAGCGTATCGTGCAAATGTAAGAAATGTAAGAAATTACTTATAATACTTAGGCTCCATTGCAGACACGAGTTGTTTATAAAATATATATATGGAATTTTTTTTATATTATTAGGTGTTGGAATTAATTCGTAGCGTTTTTTAATGAAAGAATGTTATTTATTTCACATGAGCATTAAAAAATACATTAATGAAAGTACTTCCCATCACTTGTAAAACGCTACGAATTAATTCCAACACCTAATAATAAATTGGCCAATAAGTTCTTTTGGGAGGGAATGCGGTTAATATTAAATAACATTATATATACTAAATGCTTATTCATAATTTCATTAATTATTCAACAATAATTTCGTAAAAGGTCAACGCGCATTTTATACAAAGTTTGCTAAAATTTAATTTTTAGTATTTGATGTGTATTGTTTTTCACACACACACACACACACACACACACACACACACACACACACACACACACACACACACACACACACACACACACGCACACACACACACGAGGACATAGAGGATAAGAATGAATATTTTCGGCATGTCATGCTGTTTTATTTACACAAAGAAAAAACTGCTCCATGAATTTATAAAACGTTTTCTGCTATGTACGAAGATAACACTGTGAGTGACTGAACTATTTATATTTTATATGAGTGGTTCCGACATTTCCGTTGTAAATTCGACTATTAATCTATTATACTTTCGGACAATCGGTTGAGAACGGCATTATGAAATTGTTTGTAAGATGGCTTAAAGTTGTGCAAAACAGAAAGAGAGTGAATACATTACTGATTAAGAAATATGATTTGAAATATAAATATTTTATTTTCGACTTTTGTTTGAAAAACAGAATATTAGTCAACATACGTATATTTCCTAAAATATGTGTTTATGTTTTAATTTTTAAATTTTTATTCTTAACATTTATATTATATAAATTTTATTAAATACATGTAACAATAATTGTCTTTATACATGTATTTTATTTAAATTCTAGACTTCTGGTAATTGATATTTAGAAATGTTTAAACAAATTGAATTTGGCATAAATCGAATATTAGTCTAATTGGTTAATTAAAAGAAACAATGTAAGATGTAAAGTTCTGTTTATATTTTGAATTTGTTTAATTATATAGCACCTGTTATTAAAATAATTATAATTAATTTGCAATCTAGATATCGTAACCAATACATCATCAAAAGACAATTAATGATGTATAAGTACAATCGAGTTATGTTTGCAAAGAACAAAGTGTGAATTTCTAATTATTAATATATTTTTATTATAAAAAGAACAATGTATATACGAAAATTAATCGATAATATTTATATAATTTGATGTGTAAAATGTAAATTACACATAGAAATATTTATGTAATTATTATAGCTGTGTATATTCGCATATAAATAACTACGTTAAAAAAAAGAAGTAAAATCAATGGAAAATTTAATTATTCTAAAAGTTTATATTTTAAGAAAAATAAAAATACAGAATTGTATAAAAACAATTTCAATATTTATGCGTAATTGTATCTTTATTATATTGCAAATTTAATAACTTTAGGGTAAATGTAACAGTTACAGAAAAAAAGTATCTACATATCTCAAATTATATTTTATTAACTTATCTTTTTTTATTTGTATAGTATTATAATTTTAAAAAGTTCGTAATTCTGATATATTAAGTAAAATAAGTTCCGATATCGATAGAGTCAATATTTTATTTAAACTAAAATATAAAAATATACCAAAATAAAAAAAAACCGAATATATTAGGGGTTTGCATTAAAAGCCACTGTTCACGTTTAGATGGCAGTAACTGCGTATGCTATGGTCAAAGACATCTGCTACTTATATCATTTTTAAATGTGAACATTTCCTACTAAAATTCAGTCAACAGACGTCATCCTTGTTTACATATGTGCTTTTCTATAACTGAATTAAAATGGAACGTGATAAGTTGTTTTTCCGATGTGTACTTTTACACTATTTTGATTTGAAAAAAAGTGCAGCTGAAACTTATCGATTGCTTGCGGAAATTTATGGTGAATCTGCTCTATCGGAAACAGTATGTAGAGACTGGTTTCGACGATTCAAAAGTGGTGATTGTGACGTTCACGACAAACAACGAACAGGTCAACCGAAAAAATTCGAAGATGAACAACTGCAAGCTCTATTGGAAGAAAATCCAGCTCAAACACTCAACAAAGCAATGCTCTGTATTTGGTGGGATATGGAAGGTGTCGTGTATTATGAGCTACTTAAACCGAACGAAACAATCACCACCGAGCGTTATCAACAACAATTGGAACGTTTGAATGATAATTTGATGCAAAAACGACCATCAATTGCATCAAATCGTCGAAAGGTGATTTTACTCCATGATAACGCTCGGCCGCATGTTACTATAGCCGTGAAACAAACTGATAGATCTCGAATGGGAGGTTCTCCCGCACCCAGCGTATTCTCCGGACTTAGCACCAAGCGATTATCATCTGTTCCGATCGATGCAACATGCTCTAGAAGATACACACTTCTATAATTATAGCGAAGTCGAAAATTGGGTTGCTGAATGGATTGATTCAAAAGACAGACTATTCTTTCGTCGTGGAATTCAATTTCTGCCTGAAAAGTGGCAAAAAGTCATAGCTTCCGAGGGAAAATACTTTGATTGAGGTATTCATATATTTTGTTATTGAAAGTGCTCAAAAAAGACTAAAGAAAGTGCTAAAGAAAAAACAGCGGCTTTTAATGCAAATCCCTAATATATACATATATTCCTTTATTGAAAATGTCTGTGTACATTTTAATATTTTAATTTAATTTCAGCCATTCTTAATTATATTCATTATTTTGCAGATTTAGTCATGATGATGTTCATGATCATGTTCATGTTTATGCTTGTGTTCAGATTTTAGGATACATTCAGTAATAAGAAAAGCTTTTTCGCATTTGTCTGGAAGGTCTTTTGCTGAAATAGAAAAAAATAAAATTAGTAAGTGATAACAAGTAAAGTGCGTATATTATATTCTCTCTTAATGTTAAAATAGCTAGAATAGATAAATGCATGAAAACTTATTTAATAATTATTATTATTATTTAATAATTATTATAGATAATTACACTAAACATAATTACATATTAAGATCTAGGTTATTTGGGTTATCTTATATATATGACGTTATTATGTATATAACTTACATGCATTTATGCAATTGTCCAGACTTTCCAATCTTTTATCTCCTGGTTGAACATTTGTTTTCTGGACGAATATGATATGCATCTTTTCTATTTTATATTCTGCATCTTCCATCTAATGTTTACAAAAAAAATTTATAAAATATTAATAATTAGATAATTCACTCATCAAATTACTTTTTTAAATGCATGTATTAAATCTTATGCTATTTTTTAAATTATATTATTTAATGTAATAATATATAAAATATTAAATTACTAATAAAATTCACAATTGAAAAATCAATATTAAACCAAATAAAGCATCATATAAAAGATATTATGAAAAAAATAATGTTTTAAAATGTTCACATTTTGTTATTTAAACAATTCAAAGGTTAGACATCTTTTTTAAGAAAATAACAAAAAACTATTTGCCAGTCCTGTCTTTTGTAATAAATTTTTAAATTTTTAAATAGGGAGATTTAAATAAAAGGCGTTATGACATAAATTACATTTTAATATTTGTAATATTTTATTATTTTAACGGTTTCAAGCTTAGATGCTTTTTAAAAAAATAATAAAAACCTACTTACCATTCCATCTTTTTGAAACATACATTGCATGACACAACCATTCTTGTTTATTCTTTCTTGACTTTCGGATTTGTGTTGGTTATGTATTACGTCTTCTATTGCTAACATGACATCTAGAAATTTAATTTAAAAAAAATGTGAATTTTGTATCCATGTAAAAAAAATTACAAAAATTTTGTTGATATTTTAAAAAATATTATATAAATTTTTATTTGTACTCTTTTTTATATGTATTTGCAATAAAATAGTCTTCATATAAATATTTAAACTATCATGTATTAACTTTTATTTGATCTTCAATTAATTTAAAGGTAATTATTTTTGCAATTATGTATTAAAGTTGTAATAGTTTTTGTAATAGAAAATATTCAAATAATTGTATATTTATAAAAAAAAATTTATAAGACTGTAAAATACGCAAATTATTAATAAAAACAAATCTTTTCCCTAATCTTTGTTTTAAATAATCTTTAATAACAACTATTATTATAAAATTTTAATATTTTTATAATCAGAACATTAACAAAGTTTAATTAATGTTACAAAAATTGATTTCCAGTGCATTAAAATTACATTCTTCTCTTTATCTTCTTTTGATCTTTATTAAATGTAAAAAAGAAAAAAAAATTTTATTTAATTTTTATTCATTGAAATATTCGATAAAATACCGCTGGCATTATCTAGCAAAAACCTACGTTTAGTTATGTTAATTTGTATATGCTCGTAGACTTACCATCAGATACATTAGTTTCAGTTAAACAGATACTATAATTTTTATTGTCAGATCCTAATTTTGTCGACTCAACTGTGAAAAACTAAAACATACAAAATTTTTTTAAATGAATTTTTCTACTTTGATTAAGCTATTTTATATGCATATATGTATGTATGTATGTATATATATATATATATATATACATTATATATATATTATCCTAGGAAACCACAATGTTACAATGTAACTTAAATGTAGATATAATATTATACGAATATTAGGAATGTTACATGTAATATTATTTGTAATAATAAATATCACATACTGAGATAGATATATTATTTTTATATCAGAAATGTATCAAAAAATAATGTATTCCTGCTACGTAATATAAACATCTTCTTTTCATATTTCAATATACAAAATATATTCAAAATAGATACAATAATGATAAAAATTTACATTATATAAATAGTAAAAAGTGCATAAAAAGAATGTAGCGTCATGTAATATTAAATTTTGAACTTGATCATGAGTAATTTGCAGAGTTGTGTTTGGAGAGACATTACTAAAGCTATTTGTGTTATTTCATTTATATTGTTTATGTAAAACGAGGAAAGAATGATACGATAAACGCTAATAATATCTCCTGCATCCCTGATGGCTGGAAATTGAATAAATTCAACGTATCTGTAATACGTATTTTATTTTTATACTTATCAATCGTATAAAGTTCATTAAATTGCTGAAAGATTACAATTGTATTCATGTTATGTATTTTTATTACAGTTATGTGTCATATTACAATTTTAAATAATTATTATATTTATAAAACGTAACAAAGAAATATATATTTGTTCTTCTAGTATCAAAATTATGTGACATTTACATATCGTTTCTATACCATGAAATATATTATTGTTCTTTCTATGTATTCCCTAGGTTATGATGTGTTGTGTGTTAATGTGTTTGTGTGTGTGTGTGTGTGTGTGTGTGTGTGTGTGTGTGTGTGTGTGTGTAACAATAATATAATATAAAAGTTATAATTTATTTATAATTAAGTTGTAAGAGAACTCTTATTATGTCTTTAGAAACATTTTTAATTTTCTATTTATATGTTATTTGTATGTCTATTTTTATGACAAAAAAATACTTACAACGAACACAAAAGTGCAAATATAAAATATTTTCTTCATTTTATTGATTTAATTAGTCTACACTATCTCTAAATGTGTATGTCGTACTAAACTGTTCTGAAGCTATTATCATCGTATTTATATCATTCGTAATACAAAAAATGGATTGATTAAAGTTATAAAATCACAGGTCATATAAACATGAAGTACAAACATAAAAGAAAATAAAATGATATCCATCACTAACACAAACTCTCATTATTACAAATATAAGTTGCTAAGATGTGGTTTACGCATGTAGTCTCATATGTTCATAATTCTCTTATTTAAACGTTTATATTCTTGCTTTATAATTATTCTTTTAATGTATATGTTACGTCAGTGAATCAGGCATTTGTGTTTATCTCTGTATATTCTAGAATATTTCCAGTTTTCTGCTGATTAGTTGCAAATAAAGAATAACCTTGGAATAAGCACATAAAACAGAAATTTTTAAATAGATCAATTGCCATAAGGAAGCATTATATATTTCTACTTGGAATTTTTAACTTAACTAATTATGTCATTTTTTAAATTAGAAAAGTACGTTATTTAACTTGAATGGTATTTGATTTGCATTTCATCAAACATTAAAAAAAAGCCATTGAGAGCCAACACAGGTTGTTATAATTAAATATATTTTACTAAAAAAGATAAATATACGTTTCGATTCTAATTTGGATCCTCTTCAGTATAAACTAAATATTCACAGAAAAAAGTAATCATACATCACATCACGAATATCAGAGTAACAATCGTCAAAAGTATCGATGTAGAGCATTTTAAAAAATTCTAATTGGAACAACGTTTTAATCAGGATAGAATATGCAATTTTTACAATTTAATCGTCGTAGCGCGGTTAACACCGAATGATGTAACTAGTAAATATTTATTTATCTTTATAATAAATAGTAAAAGATGAAATTTTAACGCTCATGTAAAAAAATTTTGCTAAGATTGGTTTAATTTTGAACATTTAAAGTATAAGAATATTTACAACAAGTGCGAAAGCACACTTGTAAATATTTTTGTACTCTAAAAATTACACAATTAATTAAATATCAAAACATTTAACATGAATATTTTTATCTCTTTAATATACCTCTTTAATTAATATATTTTAATTTAATTTTATTATACATATATAAATGCATCAGAAAATCCAACAAGAAATAAGTAAAAATAAAAATGAGAAGAACAATTTCCGATAATCTTGATCTTGACAAATGTTATCTAGATCATGATCCTGAACATTCAAGAGGTTTTAGTCATCGATTGGACATCTTAGGTAATGCTAATACCGATGGTATTGTAACTTTCAAACCTATAACTCAAAAAATATTTAAAAAAGAAGTACACTTTATTATAATGTTTTAAAAAGGTCTCGAGATGAGCTACAAGAATATGCAATGAAAAATAAAAATTTTTTTTCAGAAAATTTCTGAAAGAAGAACCGTTTCTTCTCATTGTTCCGCGGATTTTTAAAATTTCTTTCTTAATAATAGAAAAATTTATTTGAAAAATACATAGACCTGCTATATATTTGCTTCTTTTCATAAAAAAAATAATTTTGGTTTTCTTCTTGCAATTTAATAAAAGTGGTTTTTTTTCAAATTATACACTTTTTAAATACGAAAACAAGATCAGATTAAATAAAATATTTACTGTTATAACATTTTTGAAAATAATAAAAGTAGTAAAAATGTGTAAAAAACACTTGCACAATTGCAAAACACAAAAAAGTTAAGAAAAACGATTTTAAAATGCTTAAAACTGTAAAATGCTGTAAACTGTAAATAAAGGAACTTTATTTTTGTTACATTTACGAGAATCTCATTTGCCTATAAATTGATTGCTTACAGTATCATTTGTTTACATCACTTTTGCCGACAGTTCGTTTGCGCATAAAAATTGTCTATAATTCGATTGCCTACATGCACTTTTGTCCACAAATAAAAATTTTAGAAACGAAGTTATATTTGCCTACATGTACTATTGTCTACAAGTTTTATTACCTACAATTCGATTGCTTACAAGCACTTTTGCGTACACATAAAATTTTCAGAAACAAAATATCACATTTGTCTATATATATTGCCTACAGATCGATTGCCTACATACATTATTGCCTACAGCTCGATTGTCTACATGTATTATTACCTAATACAGCTCGATTGCTTACATATACTATTCTCTGCTTTAAAAACATAAATTCTGTTTTAAAACAGAAAATTTTCTGCTTTAGAAACACGAATTTTAAAACAAATTCTCTATTTTAAAATACAAATTTTTTGCTTTAAAAATAGAAATTATTTTTCTTACTTAAAATCTTAATTTTATATTTGTACAAAAGTGCTCGCGTAAGTAATCGAACTGTAAGCAATAATATATAATATATTAGCAATCCATTTGTAGGCAATAATACTTGTAGGCAATAATACGTGTAGACAAATGTAACTCCGTTTCTAAAATTTTTATTTGTGCGCAAAAGTGCATATAAGCAATCGAGCCGTAGGCAACAATTTTTGTGTACAAACGAACTGTCGGCAAAAATGATGTAGGCAAATGAGATACTTTGGCAATCGATTTGTAGGCAAACGGAGTGATCTCTTTTTTATTTACATTAAATAAAAATTGATACTCTATTATATCATCGTTTAAATGTCCTCTTAAAGGCAGCAGTACAGAATTAGCAATACTATCTTCTTCAATTATAAAATCGTTATTTCGTTATTTTATTCTTGACTTCTGATCACTTTAGACAATCACGCAAATCGTATATTATCATTTAAATATATTTTCATATATCATTGCTGCGAAAGAATAAAGTTTTATCATAAGGAGCCTGGATACGAAAAAATAAAACGGAACCATTTTGGTTAGCCATTATTTTGCTTCATTTCTGTTCTATTGGTTGTTTCTTTATTGGAACGCACTCTTAAAATTATTCTTAAAATCTTAAATATAACAAATTATGGATATTGATTAAAAATTACAGATTAAATATGTTAACATTATATCATAAATAGATTTAAAATATAAAAAGTAACAACAAAAGTAACTGTAAAATTCGTTATCGTTAACGAAAAAAATATTACGCTACAATTACAGTTACCAAAAAAAAGAAGTAATGCAATTACCAGATCGTTACCAAAAAAAAGTAACTTGTAACGGCGTTACAAGTAACTTCCATTCCCTGCATAAAAATTAATTTCAATCATGCAGATATAGGTTTTTTCTTGATTGAGCATTCTTTTTCTTAACAAATGTAATTCCACGTTTAATTAATCCCTCAATTTAATATTGTTCCAAAGAGAATATAAGAATCTTATTATATCTATGTAATTAATTTATAAAAATTTTAAAAAAACTTTATTGTAATATAATTGAAATAAAATTTTAATTTTTAATTAATCTGTGTGTAATTTTTTAAGTTAAAAAAATATTTACAACAAAATAAAAAACACAAATATAGAACATAAATGTAATCTTTATCTTTAATAAAATCTTTTATATAATTTTATTATTTCTATAAGCACTAGAGAATTTTTCAGAATCAAACAACGTACAATTTCTAACTGCTAGCAACAGATGTGTTGATTAAAGTTGAGGTCAGGGATAAGTGAGAGTCATGTAAAAGTGTATCATGCAAATGTGAAAATATAAATGATAAATTACGAAACTTAGCACAAATATATAAACGATAGAATACTTATCTCTGTTGCAGAAATACGAATTATTTATAAAATAATATACATATGAAATTTCCTTATATTATAATAGGTTAACCAATAAGTATATTTTCGAGAGGAAATGCAGTTAACATCTAATAATATTGTATTATTAGTAAATATTTATTTACAATTTCATCAGTTATTCAATAATTTTGTAAAAGATGAACACGCATTTTATAAAAAATTCGCTAAGATTGAATTTTTAGTATTTGAGATGTCGTTGTTTTAAATATGGGGGACAAGAATGATTTTCGGCACATCATGCTGCTTTATTTACAGAAATAAAAATGTTCCATGAATTTATAAAAAGTTTTCTGTACGAAGATGACACTGTGAGTGCCTGAACTGCGAGTGATTCTGACATTTTCATTGTGAATTCAACTGCTAATTTGCTATTCTCTGGACAATCGGTTGAGAACGGTATATTAAAATTGCTCGTAAGATTGATTAAAGTTATGCAAAACGATGAATACATTACTGATTAAAGATATTTTAAAATATAAATATTTTGTTTTTGAGTTTTATTTAAAACACAGAGGGGAGTTATTGGACAACTTAATTCGTATATTTTCTGAAATATATGTTCACGTGTACGTTATGTTTTAATTTTTTATTTATTTTTATCATTTATATTATACAAATTTATCTAATCCATATAACAATAATTTATCTTTACATATATATTTTATTTAAATTCTAAACTAGTCTTTTAGTAACTGACACTTTAAAAATGTTTGATAAACAAGTTGAATTTGGCACAAATCGTATATTAATCTAAAAGATGATCTACAATAAGTTGCAAATATCTCGTTGTAATCCCAATGCTTTACGACAGTCAAAAGCATCACTAATTACTATTGACATTTCTGTTGCAAGAAATGGTACCTGGCGACGGTATATTTTGTAACTTATTGTAGAAAAAAATAAAAGAAAAAATAAAAGATGTAAAATTCTGTTTATAATTTTAAATTTGTTTAATTATATAACGTCTGTTAAAGTAACTGTAATAAATTGCAATCAAGATATCGAATATGAAGGTATTGTTAAAGGACAATGATACGTACAAGAATTATGTTTGTACAAAATCAATGTGAGCTTATAATCTTTAATATATCTTTTTTATGATAAACGACATGTATGAAAATTAATCAATTAATTTTTATATAATTTAACATATAAAATGTAAATTACCCATAGCACATTGATATGAACATATAATTATTATACATTGCTATGTAAGTACGCATATTAACGACTATGTATAAAAGAAATGAAATTAATAAAAAATTTAATTATTTTAATTGTTTATATTTTAAGGAAAATAAAAATGCAGAATTGTATGAAAACAATTCTCAATATCTTTATATAGTCATATATGTTCCTATTATATTGCAAGTCTAATAATTTCGATAAATATAAAAGTTAAAGTTAAAAAGTATATATATTTTAAATTCTATTTTATAATTTACGCGATTTTCTGTTTATTTCTACAGCATTATAATTTTAAAAAGTTTGTAATTCTAATCGATTAAGTTTTTTTTATCAAGGAAAAGTCAGTATTTTATTTAAATTAAAATTTATTTTTTGTATTAATGTACCAAATAGAAAAAACTATAATATACTTATACATATATCTTTTTATTGAAAATGCTGTTCACAAAAGTTTTAACATATTAATTTCGACTATTTTTGTATTTACTATTTTGCGGAGTCAGTATATTGATGCAGATACTCGGGTACAGATTTTAAAAGACATACGGTTAAAAGAAACACTTTTTGGCATTTTTCTGGAAGGTCTTTTGCTGAAATAAAAAAATAAAATTAGGGTAAGTAAGAAAAAGAGTAAAATAAATATGTTATTCTCTTTCATCATTTATTGTAATATTAAAATAGTTAGTTGAATGCATTAAAACTTATTAATAATTAATATTGGTATTAATTAACTGTTAATTTCACTGAACATGATTATATATTTATCGAGACCTGGATTACCTTACATAATATGATCATAATATGTATAACTTACTTTCGTTTATGCAATTTTCCAGCTTTTCCAATCTTTTATCTCCTGGTTGAATATGTATTCTCTTGATGAATTCGATACGCATATTTTCTACCTTATATTCTGCGCCTTCTACCTAGTTTACAAAAAAAGTTTATAAAATATTAATTAATAATTTCTTTACATTAAATTGTTTTTAAAATGCGTATATTACATCTTAAATTATTTTTTAAATTAAATAACTTGACAATATATAAAATCATTAAATTATCAATAAAATTCATAATTCAAAATTCAAAAATTAATTTAAAAATAAATTTTTAAATTTTTAAATAGGGAGATTTAAATAAAAGGCGTTATGACATAAATTACATTTTAATATTTGTAATATTTTATTATTTTAACGGTTTCAAGCTTAGATGCTTTTTAAAAAAATAATAAAAACCTACTTACCAGTCCACATTTTTGAAAAATACATTGTAAGACACAACCATTCTTATTTAATTTTTCTTGATTTTCGGATTTGTATCGATCATGTATTATGTCTTGTACTGACAACATGTCATCTAGAAATTTAATTTTTGAAAAATATAAATTTTATATCTATGTAAAGAATTACAAAATATCGTTCATATTCTAAAAAATATTATAATATGCAAATTTTTTTAAAACTTTTTTTTATGTGTATTTGCGATAAAATAGTCTTTGTCTAAGTATTTAAAATATCATGTATGATCTTTTATTAGCAAAATATTATGTATTAAGTATTAAAGTCCTGCTAGTTTTTAGAAAATATTTAATATGACTGTATATTTATTTGAAATAAAGCTATAAAATACACAAATTATTATAAATCAAAAACACAAATTATTATAATTAAAATAAATCATTTCCTTAATTTTTAGTTTAAATAGTCTTTAATAACTCTTATTTTATAAAATATTAATATTTTTATAATCAAGGCATTACAAAGTTTAATTAATGTTACAAAAACTGATTTCCAGTACAGTGACACTATATTGACTGTTAATAAATGTAAAAAGAAAAAAAATTTTATGTAATTTTATATATATATTACACTGAAATTTTCGATAAAGTACCATTGGTGTTAACGTTTTAACAAAAACGAAAAGATTTCACGGTATGATTTAAGTTGTGTTTTATGTATGCACGCGCGCGCGCGCGCGCGCGTGTGTGTGTGTGTGTGTGTGTGTGTGTGAAAATACGCGCTCAGACTTACCCTCAGATACATTAATTTCAGTTAGGCATATATTGTAATTCGTATTGATGGATCCTATTTTCTTCGACTCAACAGTAAAAGACTAGAATATATAAAATTTTATTTTTAATTAATTTTTTCTTATTACTTTGATTAAGCTATTTCTATACTGCAGTACACACATATATATTATTATATACAGCAAACTACACATGTAACTTAACTGTAGATATAATATTACACAAATGTGTCAGAATGTTATATGTAATATTATTATTTGTAACGGTAAATATTATGAATTGGTTTTATGTCACAAGCTTTAAACATATTATTTTTATATCAGAAATATTACTGCAATATAAATGTCTTTTGTTACATATTTCTATATGTATATACAAAATAGGTACAACAATGATAAAAATTTACGCTATAGATAGTAAAAAGTGCATGAAAAGAATGTAGCGTTATGTAATACTCAATTTCGAATTGATTTATTTATAAAATTGTGTTTAGAGAGACATTATTATAGTGCTCTTTGTGTCATTCCATTTACATTGTCTATTAGATGTAAAACAAGCATTGTGTAAAACATAGTGTGACATAAAAATGCTAATAGCATCTCCTTCGACTGCTGGACAAATTTAATTTATCTATAATATTTATGCATTTTATACGTATCAATCGAATAATATTAGTTCAATTGATGAAAGATTATAGTTATTGTGTTTGTGTTATATATTTTAAGTTAGATGTGTATAGATTACATTTGTAAATGTTATGATTATACATATAACATAATGAAGAAATATATCTTTGTTCTTTTAGAGTATCCTCAAAATTATGTGACACATATCGTCTCTATAATAAAATATATCATTGTTCTTTCTATGTTCTCTCTAAGTTATATTATAATTACGTTTTGGTTTGCTGCGATGTGTTAATTATATATATTTGTAAAAATAATATAATAGTTATAATTTATTTATAATTACGTTGTAAGAGAACTCTTTTTATGTCGCTGGAAAAATTTTTAACTTTCTATTTATATTTAATGTTTATAACAAAAAAATACTTACGATGAACACAAAAGTGCAAATATAAAGTAATATTTTCTTCATTTTTGATGTAGTCCACTATACACTCTCTAAATGTCGTATTAGTGTTCTGAAGCCTATTAGCATAATATTTATATTGTCTGTAATCATGGTGGAATCAGAAAGGTGGAAGCATTGCGTATAATAGAGTAAGGAGGAGGCGAATTTTGACCAACCAAACGTTATTTACTAATCAAACACTATCGGCATGTCACTGTCTACTGCGTATCCTTCGTAATGCTTCATCTTTTTTTATTCCAACAGGCCTTGGCACGATTTACACTTCTCGGCCGATTTTCACGGCTCCGCCTTCCGCTAATTTTCTCATCTCATCACCCCGAGCATAGTCCAAATGCCACTCGACTAAGGTAGAATGAAACAACGCGTAAGATTGAGCATTTACGTGTTGCTTCATTCTATCTTAGTCATATATGGTAATAAATAAAAAAAAAGTAGAATGAAATTTACAGCGTTAGTGCCTAAAGTGAGTGGACTTCATGTTTACGAATGTCATGCGCTCCTAAACGTCGAGCGGCATTTGAACTATGCGCGGGGACTTCATAAAGTTCGTATCAAAAAAGCTTTGAAGGATTTAGAAAATATAAGAAAACAGAATAATTAAAATTATATTTATTTATTTTATTATATATTATTATGTATATGTATGTTATATATTAGGTGTTGGAATTAATTCGTAGCGTTTTTAATGAAAGAATGTTATTTATTTCACATGAGCATTAAAAAATACATTAATGAAAGTACTTCTCATCACTTGTAAAACGCTACGAATTAATTCCAACACCTAATATAATAATAATATTGTGTGTGTATATATACTCAGTAAATAACAATGATACACAGGTGCTCAAAAAACGAAAATAGAGAAAAACTTGGTAAAAAAAATTTTTTAGATTTGAGAAAACTGTAGGTGGATATATTATTAAACAATTTTTTTCTTCACAACTTTAAAGTATTCTTTAAGCCATACAACTTTTGTTTAAAAATTTTTTTCCATCTTTTATATTTCCAACGATATTCAGCCCGAAAGAGAAACCGTTTTTTTTAAAGAGATGTTTTACCCCTTAAAGAAGTTAGCGCCCATATAAAAAAATACGTGTCTCTTAGATTTTTGTGTTTAATAACATATATTTAATAAATAGTTAAATCAGTGCCGGACAGTTGTGAAACGTTCTTTATATAAAGTAAAACACAATTTTTGTATATGCAATTTTATTAAAACAATAAGGGTAGAGTACTATAGTATAATAATATAATAATACACGTAAATATACATTTTAATATAAATTATATCGCGTTGTATGTATGCTTTATATGTATTAGTAACTATATGGATATTTAATTTTTACATTTAATTATATTTATATAGTTTGTTCTATTTACGCTTTTCCTTCTGCTTCTTTTATTTCAAGTTCTTGATGTTTCTGTTCCTCATATCCAGTTTTTACAAAGCATGCTAACATGGAGAAGCTTTTCACATTCTTGTGTAATATTTCTTACTATATAAATAAAAGTATGAAATAATATAATTAAATGATACAATATATAATTATGTTTCCTATAAATAATGTATTTTTATAACAACTATAACATTTTAAAAGCATTATACTACAAGTGCAAATATATAAAATATTCATAAAAAATTTTTTTATAATTCCTTATTTCTTGCTAACTTTAGAGTAATTTATACAATATATCGAAGAAAGTAAGATCTATATTCTAGGAAACGAGAACTGTAAAATTTTTTAAAATTTATTATAAATTATTAAAAAATGTGTTACTTGAACAATGAATTATAAAAAGAAATATGTAATACTTTTTTCTTAACTGTAATTTTACAATATTGAACTGTTCAAAATTGCATATTAAATTGTTTAAAACAAAAATATCCATATGAACATTTTTGTTTATGGAACAACCATAATATATGTAATTCAAGATATATCTTATCTTGTTTCATGCATTTACGCGCAACTCTGTGAACAATGACTTGTTGAGAAATATTAGTATACTTCATATTTATTATTACATAAATTTGTACTTCCTTAATGTTTGATCCTTCCATCTAACATTTTAAAAAGAAATTTTAAAAATTAGAGGAAAATATAGATATATATTTATTTTAATTATTTTGCGCAATTTAAGCGTTACATAACTTAAAATATATGTTTATTATAAATTAAGTATTATAGCACAGTGATTTTTGTTAACACTATATAATGATATCAATTATTGTATGACAAATTTTGTATTTTACCATCAAACATACCTTGTATGTGTAGTAATAATGTGTTTCATTAATTGCATTAATAATTATTGCATTAGAAATTAAGTCTCAAACAATTTAAAATTTTATTTATTATAATCTATTAATCTTGCATTGTTGGACATATATAAAATATATGTATAGCATATTTGAAGATATTTATTAAATTCTGTCTTTTTAAGATACAATCCAGCAGCCAACTCTCCTTCTTCTTTCTTCATTTTCAGGTTAGGATAGGTAAGTCAGTCATTATCTTTTCCCGATTGTAGATATCAGCTAAGAAAGAAAATCAATCAATACAAAAGTCAATTTTTTTGGAAAAAAGTTAGTTCAAATAAAAGATTGTAAGGAAAATACCCATTGAAATCTGATAAAACAAAATTAAACTAAAAAATTGATTAGAGAATTTAGACAATCACAAGGATCTTCAATAATATGCTTCTGCAATAAAATGCATAATTATAATTTACCGTCAGTCATATTATTTTTAATCTTCCAAGCTTCAATGTCATCCTCAATAGTTTCTATTAAATTTTTGAATTTTTTTAATTCTCTTGAGCTAGACGGCTAAAATTTATAAAATATTTGTTTCGTTTATTTTTATATAGTTTTTAATACATATTATTATAGATATTCCTTTGTAGTTTATTGAAATAGTTAAAGTAGCTTATTGACAGAATACTTACAACAATTATTAAAATACAGGTGTAAAACACGAGATTTTTCATTTTGTGCAGAAGATATCTTCACTGCAATAAGCGCAATTATTCAAAACAACTGTAATTACATCGTATATATACTGATTTATTCTTCGATGGATAAAATACATAGACCAAAAGAAACATGATTATAGATCGTATAAACATCAATTATATAACTAATTAAAATAGTAACAATTTGCTATACTGACAATGTTTTAATACTACCCTATGATGTAAATTAATAAGTATAACAAATTAAATTAAGTATATAAAAGAATGAATATTGATATTTGTATAGAAGATTAAATCAACGTAAAAATCGAAACATATTATCAAACACATATTATCTTATTTTTTTGAGAACACGCTGTATACACGTGAATAAATACGATACTACCATATCGTATTTATATTTATATTATCAGTAATATAAAAAATGTGTAGATTAGAGTTTCAAGATTATAAATCATGTAAACTAAAGAACACTTAAAAAAGAAAATATAATGATAAATAATTAATACAAACTTTTATTATTGCAAATGTAGATTGCTGAAATGTAAATTTCGAATTATAGTTTTCTCATATATTTGCAATTATCTTATAATTATCTTATAAATATCTTTGTAATATGATTACTTGATAATTATCTTTTCACTGTTTATGTTAAGTTAATCAAATTTTGTATTTATCTCTGTTGTAAATTCTAGAATATTTTTAGTTTTTCACCGATTAATATCACATATCAAAAATAATTATGGGATATAAGCTTACATAAAATAGAAATCCACTAAATTAATTAGTATAATGATATATTATAAATTTCTGCTTGAAATTATAAACTTTTAAATTAATTATACTATTGTAAGCATAAAAACGATCGTATTTAATTAATATTTTTTTATTGTTTATATTAATGATATATATTACAAATTTAAACTCATACGTACACACACAGCAAAAATATTCTGAATATTATACAAATATCCTACAGACGTGATATCGTTAAGCTTGTGATATAATTTAGACAGTATCGCTACATGAAACATATACAGCACGCACATGTACTTTAATAGAAAATATAGTATGAGGACTACATTACATAACTATGCAAAAACGGCAATTATGCAAATTTTATAGTCAGGGCAGACAAATATATAACAAATATTTTGTTAATTTTTTACTATAAATATTGTTAAATTATTGTTATAAACATTTAAAAAATATTTTAAGTCTGAATTTTATATTTTTAATGTACGCTAAGAAAATCTTATTATTGTACTAATTGGAAAAATTTAAAATTATAATATAAAAGAAGTGAAGGGCATGTAAGAATAAATTTTAAAAATTACATATGAAAAGATAAACATTAATTACATTCATAAATTAAATATGAATTATAAATTCCGTAATATTACATGCTTTGGATTCTTGATTCAGCTATTTATCAGATATTCAAATTTCAAATATTCAAATAAATACAGTAACAATATATGAATAAAAAATAACGCAGAGAAAAACTTAAAACATATGAATTAGATGAGGCCCAATGAATTATATGTAGAGACAGAAATTGCTCGCAAGCGATTGGAAGATCAATTGTTGAAAATTTCCGGATGTTCAAATGGCCATACAATTATCCTTCGCATCATTTTGATCAGATGCTCGTCAAAATGCTTATAATAATCAGTGTGATTAAACAATAGCACATAGCATTAAAAAATTGAATCAACAAAGGTAAAATAAAAAGATATATAAAATGCTAAGACAAGAATTAAAATTAAAGTGTGTAACTGTTACGACAGACTAACACTGAGACTAACAAGTCAGTGATATCCGCATTTAAGTATTTTCTAAATCTCGTGGAGTGAAATTTCACTCGAAAAGACTGAAAATTGAGTCAATTTTCAAAAAAGAATTTCACTCCTATGGAGTGAATCTCATTTCAAAAGAGTAAATCTCACTCTAAAAAGAATGAAAATCTGCTATTCTTGAACAAGAGTGGTAGTATTTTCACTCTTTTTTTCGAGACTAGCTCAATTTTCAGTCTCTTCGAGTGAAATTTCACTTCACGAGAGTACATTTACCCCATAAATGTGCTTAAATTTAAATTACCTTTCAAACTGTGCATTTCGATATAGGAGAAGCCCGGGCAGCATGGACGTGTTAAGGTTGAGAAGAAAAATTGACATCAGAATTAAAATTGAGATCAGAAACCATTTTTATTCTCATAAATTTCTTAAAGAATTTAACTTTAAAATAAAATAAAATTAAAATTAAAATAGTTGAACATTAATA